TTATTTTTCTATTCAACGCTACTATCTAGAATAAATACCATGTTATATTTAGTCTTCCTGTCTCCTTACACCCTCCAGATTTATCAAAGTATTTAAAACAATACTCAAATATAAGCTGGGATCTGGTGGCTCATGCCCATAATCCTATCTACTTAAAAGATTAAGAGCTGAGGACTGATGATTGGAATCCAGCTCAAAAAGAAAAGTTCTTGAGAATCTTATCTCCAATTAACCAGTAGAAAGCCGGAAGTAGAAATATGGCTCAAGTGGTACAGCACCAGCCTTAAGCAGAAAAGCTAAGGGACAGTACCCAAGTCCTGAGTTTAAACTCTATTACTGGCGCTATAAACACACACACACACACACACACACACACACACACAATTGAAATCTAATTGTCATTTGGAAATTTTATTATACATGTCACAATTAAGACCACAAACATAGAGTTAGAGGACTCTAAATTCTGAGTCCTTTTTTCTTCTGGAAACAAATCTCCATGTCCCAATTCAAAACACTCATTTTTTTAATTTGCTTATTTATTTTTGTAGTTTTAGGGGTTGAACACAGGGCCTTATAACTATATTCCTAACCCCAATTCAAAAACATTTTAGATGATGGTAACTTGGGGAAATATTCTTTCTTGCGCTAGAATATCTTTAGGAAGAATTAACTCCAGCATGGCTAAAATTGACCCCAGCTACATCCGTGAGCACAGCAGGAGAATAGAGTATGGCTGTGGATGTAAGCAGAGCAAGGGAGGAGGGTGATGTTAAGCAATTGTATTGTTTTTAATTTCTAACGAAAAGCTAATGGTGACTGTGTTCACAGGGCATCCTGGATGCAATGGATTATTAATTTTTAACTTCTACTGTTAACCTATGGCTAAAGATAATCTACAGTCTTGCCAATGTAGATATGATCATTTTATATGTATACACACATACGTGTATACAAGACAAAGAGGCTAAAATAGGATATCAAGCAATAGAACTTAGCCAGATGCTAGTGGCTCATGACTATAATCCTAGCTATTCAGGAGGCTGAGACCTGGAGGATCCCACTTGGAGGCCAGCTCAAGCAGAATAGTTTGCTGGATTCTATCTTCAAAATTAACCAGGGCTAGGGGATATAAAAGTGATAGAGTACCAGCCTAGCAAGCATTTGTCCCTGAGTTCAAATCCCAGTGCTACAGAAAGAAAGAAAGAAAGAAAGAGAGAGAGAGAGGGAAGGAGGGAGGGAGGGAGGGAGGGAGGGAAAACCTGAGGAAGAAAGCCTTGATTGTATTGCTCAAATTGTTCAGTGTTAAGAGCATCTTTTCAAGGTAGCAGTGGAAAAAAAGAGCCCGTTGACAAGAAACCCTTCTGCTCCACAAACTCTCGTTTCCTCTTAGGAGGAAAGAAGCCCAGACTGCTTAACTGAGCATGTAGGAGGTCTGCAAGTTTCTGTTTCTCCTACTGCTTTCTCCACCTGACAGACATCTTCACATGCCTGGAACCTCGCAGTACCTCCTGCAGATCCACCCCATCCCTGCTAGTTCAACCCTCCCAAATTCCTTTCTTTATGGGCTGAGTTCTTGGTTCAAAAGTCTGTAGGGGCTTCCCAGTTGTAGAGAAAATACTTTCAGTATTACCACCCTCCCTTCTGGCATACCAAACACCAAGTAATTCTTTTATGCCTTCATTACTATAAGCTTTTCTGTTCTGCATACTTGTCTCTTTAAAAAAACAAAAAAGTTTTGGTGCTGGTATGGAGCATCAGGACCTGGGCACTGTCCTGCCCCTGAGTTTTTTTTTTTTTTTTTGCTCAGGGCTAGCATTCTACCACTTGAACCATAACTCTACTTCTGGCTTTTTGGTGATTAATTGAAGATAAGAGTCTCATGAACTTTCCAGCTTGGGCTGGCTTCAAACCCTAGTCCTCAGATTTCAGTCTTCTGAGTATCTAGCTAGAATTATAGGTGTGAATACCAGCACTCAGTTTGTATGTATTCTTTCCTTTACTCTCAAATCTCTACTGTCTATTTTAAATCTCAGGTAAAATTTACCTTCATTTTTCTTAAATTCATACCTCCCCATACTGTCCAGTGCTCGCTCGCACGCTCCCCCCCTCCCCCCCCCCCCCCCTCTCTCTCTCTCTCTCTCTCTCTCTCTCTCTCTCTCTCTCTCTCTCTCTCTCTCTCTCTCTCTCGGAAACCCTGGTTTCAATGTGCTCTATATGTTGGTGAATTTGCATACTTACCAGACTGATTAAATGATTTTCCATTCTTTTCTTTTCTCACCTAACAAAAAAAGGTGTTTATCTCATGAACCATTTGGTGTCATAAATGGGTTTTTTTATTTGTTTGTTTGAGCTGATCCTGAGGCTTGAACTCAGGACCTGAGTTCTGTTCCTTAGCATTTTTGCTCAAGGCTAGCAATCTACCACTTGAACCGTACCACCACTTACGGGGTTTTTTGGTAGTTGATTAGAAATAAGAATCTCATGGGCTGGCTTCCAATGATAATCCTCAGATCTCAGCCTCCTGCATAGCTAGGATTATAGGTGTGAGCCAATGTTGCCCGGCTTTGGACCATCATATTTCTGAAACGTAATTTTTAATGATTTTTTAGATAGTTTTGTGTGCCAAATTCCACATTGTATTAAGGCATTTGTCTATACTTTTAGGTTGTTTCTGGGGATTTTAGTGTTGTTGTTTTTTGGTATTGGAACTTGAACTCAAGGTCTTCTGTTTGCTTAGGCTTACGTGCTCAGGTGGGACTTTACCACTTGAGACATGCCTCTAGCTCTGCTTTATTTTGTACCAGTCCTGGGGTTTGAACTCAGGGCCTGAGCACCATCCCTGAGCTTTTGTGTTCCAGGTTAGTAGTCTACTACTTGAACTACCACTCATCTTCTAATTGGAGATAAGAGTCTCTTGAAGTTGTCTACCTGACCTGTCTTTAAACTAGGATTCTCAGATCTTAGCCTCCAGAATAGCTAGGACTCCAGATGTGAGCCACTTGTGCCCAGCTTAGCCCTGCTTTTTGATAGTTCATTGAAGCTAAGAGTCTTATGGGAATTTTCTGCCCAGGCTGGTTTTGACAGATCTGAGACTCTTGAGTAGCTAGGATTACAGGCATGAGCCACCAGCATCAAGCTAAAAGTAATCTTGAGAACGCTTTTTCTTGGGTTATTAATATGTATTTCCACATTAATCTCCAAACATGAAATGCCAGTTTTTCTCTATTGGCAGTATATGAACCCATTATTATTGCTTACCAGTACAGGTTATTGCCATTTACTTATACTCTTTGTTAATTAAGTATTTAAAACATATTGTGGTTGTACATGTAATGGACACAAGACCTTTCTCAGACAGATGTTCTGTCTTTCCAGGGTTGGAGGTGTGGCTGAGCAGTATCACATCAGCTTAGCCGATAAGAGGCTCTCAGTTCAAAGCTCAGTAATATAAAAAAAAAAAAAATCCTCCAAGTCTCTAACATGCTTTATAACTTTCTTGACAGTATATCCTACAGTTAAAAGGTTTTCATTGTAATGATTTCCATGTATTAAATTTTGTATGACACTTTCCTTTTTGGAGTGGGCAGAAGAGTCCTGCCTGTAACCCAGACTCACAAAGAGTTGGGCTTCACTGACTCAACTTCAAGCCTATAATCCTAGTAATTCAAGAAACTGAGATTGGAGGATCTAGGTTTGAAGTCAGCAGGGTCAGGCATGTCCATGAAACTTTTTTTCCTATTTCCAGTTAACCAGCAAAAAGCCTGAAGTGGAACTGTGTCTCAAATGGTAGAGCACCTGCCTTGAGCAAATAAGCTAAGGGGCAGTGTACAAACCTGAGTTCAAGCCACAATGCTGGCATAAAAACAAATTAACAACAACAACAACCCCCCAAACTCACAGATTTTCTCTTCTGTTTTCTTCTGAAGTTTTATTATTTTTGGCTCTCTGCTTGGATTTATGACTCATTTTGAATTAATTTTGCAGACAGCATGAGATCTAAATAGAGGTTCATTTTTTTGTGCATGGTAATTAGTAAATGATCAAGAATCTTTCCAGATAAAAAGATTAGAATTAAAAGTCTATCAAAGGAAAGGATCTATAATGGGACCTACTCATTTCAGTCGACTCTAATTGCATCATACCTCAACTAAATGTTTACCAACAAAAAACAATAATTATTATCATCACATAGATTGTTTGGAGGATATCCATTGTTTATTTCACCTAAGTGATATGAGATAATTGCATTAGTAGATTTTTTAATACAATAAGCATTTTTTAAAATCTAACAACTACAAGGTACTTCTTATTCAAGGTACAAGTTAGATGCCTTGGGAAAATAATTTTTTGCGGGTTCCCTAATAACTTGATTGCAATTAACATCTGATTTCTAGAATGAAAGGGAGTCAAAGTAATTAACTTTCTTGAACCACAAAGTTATTACTATATGAAGAATGTCTGTCAGCACTTAAGAGACTTGGACTCCTGGGAGTGTACTAATTAAGATTATGAAAGAGCTGTCATAAATGAGAAAGTTTTGTAGTGAATGTTGCTTGGGGTAATTTGTGACATAGAAAGTTTCTCAGAGCTGGGAGCCTATGGCTCATGCCTATAATCTTAGCTGCTCATGAGGCTGAGATCTAAGGATCAAGATTTGAAGCCAGTCCAGGCAAGAAAATTCATAAGATTCTTCTTCAATTAACTACCAAAGTGGAACTGGGACTCAACTGGTAGAATGTCAGCCTTGAGCAAAAAAGCTAAGCAAGAGCAAAAAAATGCTAAGGAAGAGCATCCAGACCCTGACCTCCAGCCTCCATGCCAACACACACACACACACACACACACACACACACACACACACACACACACACACACACACACACACACACACACACACACACACACACACACACACACACACACACACACACACACACACACACACCAGTTTCTTAGTAATTAACAAGCCTGTTAATGGCCCACATCTTTCCCTGTAGGTCATCAGCTCCATGAGTTCCCTGTCTGAGTACTGCCTGCCTTCCATCCTGCGAACATTATTTGACTGGTATAAAAGGCAGAACGGCATTGAGGATGAATCACACGAATACAGACCAAGAACCAGCAATAAATCAAAAAGGTACATTTCTTTCATAGAAGATTCTGATTTTGTCATTGTTGTTGTTATTGTTAAGAAATATAAATACCAGGCACTGATGACTCACTGCTATAATCCTAGCTATTCAGGAAGCTGAGATCTGAGAATCCTGGTTTAAAATCCTGGTATACAGATCCAAGAGACCCTTATCTCCAATTACCAGCAAAAAGCAGGAGTAGAGGTGTGGCTCAGTTGGCAAAGCACCAGAGTTTAGCAAGTAAATTAAGCAAGAGCACTAGGCCCTGAGTTTAAGCCCTAGTGGAAGGAAGGAAGGAAGGGAAAAAAGAAGGAAGGAAAGGAAGAGAAAGAAAGAAAGAGAAAGAGCAAAAGAAAGAAAGAAGGAAAGAAAGAAAGAAAAAGAAAGAAAGAAAAGGGAGAGAAGAGAAGAGAGAGAAAGAAAGAAAGAGAAAAAGAAAGAAAGAAAAGAAAGAAAGAAACAAAGAGAAAGAAAGAAAGGAAGGAAGGAAAGAAAATGAATCCAAGTGCCAGTGGCTCATGCCTGTAATCCTAGCTACTAAGGAGGCTGAGATCTGAGGGTCATGGTTCAAAGCCAGCCTGGGCAGGAAAGTCCATAAGACTCTTATCTCCAATTACCCCCACACACCCTCCCACCCCCCTCATCCCCGACCCCCACCCAGAAAAAAAGTGGCACTGCACTGTGGCTAAGTGGTATAGCATTCACCTTGAGCTGAAGAGCTGAGAGACAGTTCCCAGGACCAGAGTTCAAGCCCACCACCAAGAAAGAAAGGAACAAGGGAAGGAGAGAGGAAAGGAAGGAAGGAAGGAAGGAGGGAGGGAGGGAAGGAGGGAAGGGAAGAAGGAAGGAGAGAGAGAAAGGGAAGAGAAGGAAGAAAGGGAGAGAGGGAGGGAAAGAGAAAGAGAGAAAAGAAAAGAATCCTAAATCAACCTGAGAGTTATATCTTATCTATGCTGTCCAGACTTTCCACAAGAATGCCTAGGGCCATCTGGTCTGGAGCTGATAACACCTTGGAGACCCAGGCTGAAATGACACCCAGCCTTAGTTTCACATTGGTGGGTCTGTAGAATCACCATCCTTCCCTCTTCTTTCCTCTGCTGTCCATCTCCCCTGTGGTCTATTCCAAAAGCAGAAGTCTGTCACAGGCCCCAGATGACAGGCTGAGATAGTTTAGTCCTGGTGCAAATAACCTTGAGAGCTCAGTGTAGCGCAGCGGGCAGGTGCTGGGTGTCAGGCTGGCAGGAATCCTGGGTTCAAGGGCAGTTCCCACCTCTTTGTCCCTTAGTCTGCTGGTGAGCAAAACAGAAGTTAGAGTCACGCCTCTGATTTCTCCGGCCAGATGAGAATTGTGTGCTCGCTCTGTGGTTCCCCCTTCCCTTGGTGGGTGTCTCAAAGGTGGAATTTCCAGCTCCACAAGTAGCCATGGAACTTGAGATTCTAAAATGATCAAATTAATGTCTGCTCCCTCCAACACACACACACACACACACACACACACACACACACACACACACACACACACACACACATTCACACACACTCAGAGCCCACATTTTAGGTAAATACATTTAATTGCATATGTATGTAATCAACTCACTATAGCATGTCATTAGATAGAAGAACGTTTAATGCACTTATTTTTTTTAAGAACCAAGAGGTTATTTTTAAAGCATATTTTTTTTCCTGCAGGAATTGATTATGCATTTTTAAATGCTTGTAAAACCAGAAAACAAATTAAATACTCAAGAGCAGACATTAACTATTTCTTCTGAGTAGTTTTATCCCTTTCATTTTTCTTACCAGTTCTCATCTTTTTAAAAAAAAATAGAGAACAGTTATAATGATATAGATATATATAGAAAATACAGAAATAAAATTATAGAAAATATGGAAGAAGAATGTTGAATAATCAATCACAAGTAATCACACATGTAATCATGGCTACTTGGAAGCGTGAGATTATGAAGCTCACGGTTCGAAGGCAGCACCACCAGGAAAGTTCACAAGACCCTTCTTGCCCCTGCTCAGCCTATAACTGGGTTCAGTGGTGTGTCCCTCTTGTCCCAGCTATTATGGGAAACCTAAAATAGGTGGACCTCAGTCCAGCTGTATACCTAGGCAGAATTCAGATCCCATAAATGTATGTATCACAAATATGTAAGTGAAGAATTTCCTTGAAATTGGAATTCCGTACTTTTATTGCACCTTTCATCCAAATTGGCAGTATAAACTTACACTCTGCTGGAGTTTATCCAAATTTCAATATTTATCATTTTGAAGAGATTGATAATGGTTTTTTCATACTGAGTAAAATTTTAGGTGAAGAGGGAAAGTTTTTAACAAGATGTAATTTTTTTTTAATCGGTTGTGACGCTTGAACTCTGGGCGTGGGTGGTGTCCCTCAGCTCTTCAGCTCAAGGGTAACGCTCTACCACTTCAGCCACAGCGCCACTTCCACAAGATGTTATTTGTATAGTAAAATCGTTCACTCTTTTAACAAGTTTACATTCATGCCGAGTGTCAGGTAGTTCACCCTTGTAATCGATCCCCATCTACTCAGGAGGCTGGATCTGAAGATCAAGGTTCAAAGGCAGCCTGGGCAGGAAAGTTTGTGACAGAAAAAACCAGAAGTGATGCTGTGGCTCAAGTGGTAGAGGGCTAGCCTTGAGCAAAAGGAACACCCAGGCCCAGAGTTCATGGCAAAAAAAAAACAAACAAACAAAAAACAAAAGTTGTATTTTCAGAACTGTACAACCATCATACCACTTAACTCCAGAACTTTTTATCACTCTCCAAAGAAACCCTATGCCCACATTAGCAGTCTCTCATCCATGACACATTTTGAAATTTATAAAAATTTGAAGGTAAAATGTCCATTCTGTGTGTGAAAATGGTCCATACTGTGGAATCAGTAAACAATTGCAGTCTTACATCTTAAGGTGTTTGGCAATCCTTCCCACATTACATGCTGGCTTGTGACAAGCCAGGCACTGGTGGCTCACGCCTGTAATCCTAGATACTCATGAGGCTGAGATCTGAGGATTGCAGTTCAAAGCCAGCCCAGGAAGGAAAGCCTGTGAGACTCTTATCTCCAATAAACCACTCAGAAAATCGGAGGAAGTGGCGCGTTGGCTCCAGTGGTAGAGCACTAACCTTGAGCCGAAGAGCTGAGGGACATCATCCAAGCCCAGAGTTCAAGCCCCACCACCACCAACAACAAAAAAAAATGATGGCTGGTGACTTCCCTCAGGGTGGGCAGTGCAGCAGTTTTTGTGAGTTGAATTCATTTTGTGTTGTTTCTCTGTTTTGCCATAATTTATTTACGGAAACTCGTTTTCACATGCATTTCTGTCTTGTTTTCTTCTTTCCCTTTCCTTTTCTTTCCTTTTCTTTCTTTTTTCTTTCTTTCTTTTTTTGATGCCAGTCCTGGAGCTTGAATTCAGGGCCTGGGCACTGTCCCTTAGCATGTTTACTCAAAGCTAGTGTTCTGCCACTTGAACCACAACTCCTTTCCCAGCTTTTTGGTAGTTCATTGTATATAAGAGTCTTACCATCTGTTGGCTTTGAACTACAATCCTCAGACATCAGCCTCCTGCGTAGCTATGATTACAGGCTTGAGCCATTTTTTTGATGGATTGAAAGTAGACTTTTTAATAATGCTACTAATTTGTGTATGTGTGTGTGAGAGAGAGAGAGAGAAACAGAAACAGAGAGAGATATCGGAGCAACTACTGAAACCACATGCCTACAGAATCAGGACACTAAAGTTCAACCCAGTAACACTTTAGTTACATTTGAATATTTAAAATGAGAAAATGGCCATGCCCCAGTGGGTCACACTAGTAATCCAACTCAGGAGGATGAGATCTGAGGATCATGATTGGAAGCCACCTCAGGCAGAGAAGTCCATAAGTCTTATTTCCAATAAACCTCCAAAATAAAGACTGGAAATGGAGCTGTGGCTCAGGTGGTAGAGCATTAGCCTTGAACAGAAAAGCACCGAGCCCCTGAGTCCAAGCCTCAGGACCCCAGAACTGGCACAAAGTAAAATAAAATAAGAAAATTTATGCCTGAGAAGCTGTGCACGGTGGTATATGCCTGTAGATACAGCATTTGGGAGGCTACCAACAGAGAATTTCAAGTTGAAAGTCAGTCTGAATTGTGCCACCAAATGCAAGTCTAGCCTCAATTACATAGTAAAATCCTGTCCAAAGAGAGGAGGAGGGGGAGAAGAGAAAAGAAGGGAGGGAGGGAGAGAGGGAGGAAGGGAGGAAGGAAGGGAGGGAGGGAGGGAGGGAGGGAGGGAGGGAGGGAGGGAAGGAGGGGAAGAAAGAAGAAAGAGAAAGAAGGAAAGAAAGAAAGAAGGAAAGAGGAAGGAAGGAAGGAAGGAAGGAAGGAAGGAAGGAAGGAAGGAAGGAAGGAAGGAAGGAAGGAAGGAAGGAAGGAAGGAAGGAAGGGTGGGAGGGAGAGAGGGAGGGAGGGAGGGAGGGAGGGAGAGAGGGAGGAAGAAAGAAAGTATATCTGGGAAAAAGCCAAAAGAACAAGGATTTCAAGAACAGAGCATGATATAGAAGAACTTTAGGGAGGAAGCTATGCCACTGAAGATAGTTGCGGGGAAGGGCTGGATACAGGGTGAGGATTTCTAAGATTAGTATAATATCAACAATTTGGCTGCCAAATAAATTTGTCAGATGCCTCTGGCTCCTGGCAAGTGAGAACACAAACCAGCAATAAGGTTGAATTTTCTATTAGAAAAATGCATGTCTTATTTTATTTGTAAGCACAACTTGATTTGTTAAATTACATAAAATTCGAAGTTTATTTATTTATTGCAAGTGTTGCTCCTTGCTCAAGGGTTCTCTGGCCACCTTTGAAGATCCCTAATGTCTTGTGACACACAAATGATGTCTGCTGTTGCTAAGGGTCGTTGCAAGCTCTGTTACTCTCAATTTCACCTTCCTGCTTCCTTCTCCCATGATGCACACACACAAGGCCTGACAAGCAAATATTCTTCTGCACAATCCATTCTGTACTGGAGTTTCTGTTTTCATGGCCAGTAGGAATATTTTCCTATTCTAATATTTGTTTTTGATGCCTATCCTGGGACTTGAACTCCTGGCTTAAGTGCTAGCTCTTAGCTTTTTAACTCAGAGTAGATACTCTACCAATTGAGCCACGGCTCCACTTCCAGCTTTTTGCTGTTTAATTAGAAAGAAGAATTTAATAAACTTTCTTGCCCAGACTGGCTCTGAACAAGGATCCTTTCATCTTTAACTCCTAAGTAGCTGGGGTTATAGTGTGAGCCACTAGCACCTGCACTACTAGGTCTTGAAGGACTTCTGAAGTGATCCTAAACGAGTCATTTCTGCCTCACAAATACATTTCTACTGGGGAGCTAAAACTATAGCTTTCCTTGTCAACTCATTCCTCATTCCTCTTTCTTAATCTGGCTCATCCAAGATTATAGAGCACCCCTAATCTCCGTGCTTTTTTCCTCATTCCCTCTGAAGACAAGAGTATATAAAATTCGGGCTGGGAAGGTGGCTCAGTGGTAGAGCACTTGCCTTGCATGCCTGAGGCCCTGGGTTCGATTCCTCAGCACCACATAAGCAAAATGAAAAAAGCCGGAAGTGGCGCTGTGGCTCAAGTGGTAGCACGCTAGCCTTGAGCTGAAGAGCTGAGGGACAGTGCCCAGGCCCAGAGTTCAGGCCCCACAACTGGACCCCCCCGCAAAAAAAAAGAGTATATAAAATTCAAAATCATGTTAAATCATAAAACATCTGCTTGACAAGCTCAAGTCTTGTCATCCTTCCTCAACAAGTAAGTAGTAAGCCATTCTGTGTTAAAGAAGTTATGCTAAAAACTTCACATGCTTTATCATCTCTAAACTTGAAGTAAGTACAGGGTGAGCATTCCTAACCCCAAAATCCAACATCTGAATTTTGGGGGACATCTACACGGTGTCATAGGTAGAAAATTCCATACCTGATCACAAGAGACAAATCATAGTCAAAACCTAAATACTCCACCAATCACTAGTGGCTCACACTTGCAGTTCTAGCTGTTCAAGACACTGAAATGTGAGAATCACAGTTTGAAGCCAGTCTGGTCAAGGAAGTTCATGACACTCTTATCTCCAATTAAACATCAAAAAGCCAGAAGTGGGGGCTGGGAAGGTGGCTCAGTGGTAGAGTGCTTACCTTGCATGCATGAGGCCCTGAGTTCCATTCCTCAGCACCACATAAGCAGAAAAAGCCAGAAGTGGTGCTGTGCTCAAGTGGTAGAGCCCTAGCCTTGAGCTGAAGAGCTGCGAGACAGCTCCCAGACCCAGAGTTCATGCCCACATCTGGGGGGAGAAAGAGCCAGAAGAATGGAGCTGTGGTACAGTGGTAAAGAGCTAGCCTTAAGCGAAAAAGCTAAAGTACAATGCCCAGGCTCAGAGTTCCAGTCCCAATACTACCCAGATACTGTAACATCGCCTTTTGGATGTGTAACAAAAGTATGTATGTGATACAAATGAACTTCCTGTTTAGGCTTGGGTCCCATCCCCAAGATAGGTCATTATGTCTGTGCTGAAATCTGAAGAAGTCTGAAATGTAGAACAGTTCCAACATCAAGCATTTTGAGTAAGCAGCACTCCACCTGTACTCTCCATTTTGCAGCTGGAGAAATGTCTGGTAGGGAGAAGAGGAGTGGTCCTAAGCCAAGGCTGTTGCACACTGTGATCGTGTCCATCTCCATCCTTTGCTCAGGGGCCTTCTTCCTTCATTGAGGTTCAAACACACAGTCAGGCTTAGTAAGTACAAAGGGCTGGTCCTTTCACAGTTCAGTTTCTGCCCCCTAACTTTTGATTGAGTGCAAATGACTTCCTTTGCCTCTTCTCTATTTTCTGTCCACATTCCCCCCGCCTGCCCTCTATTCTGGAACCTGAACTCAGGGGCTGGTACTGTCCATTAGCTTTTTGCTCAAGGCTGGCTGTCTACCACTTGAGCCACAGCTTCATTTCTGGCTTTTTGTTGGTTATTTGGAGGTAAGAATCTCAGACCTTTTTCTGCCCAGGTTTCAATCCACTATTCTCAGATTTTACCTTCCTGAGTAGCTAGGATCACAGGGGTGAGCCACTGGTACCCAGCTAGAATCCTAGATCCTTAATGTGTTCTATCACCCTGTAAGTCTCTTCACTCCCAACTAATGTGATATTTTAAACTTTACAGTGATGAACAACAGCGGGATTATTTAATGGAAAGACGGGACCTTGCCATTGATTTTATCTTTTCTTTAGTATTAATAGAAGTTTTGAAACAGGTGAGTAAATAATTCATTGCTACTGTTATTTAGTATTTATTCATCTAGGAACAAGCTTTGAAAGGCCATATTCATTACATTGTTTATGATTGCCAAATACTGGGTCCTATGAATTTTATTTATGGATTGTCACAGGTCGTGAATAGTTAGGGCGGAACACTGTAATGATGTTTTTTCTGGTTCCCTTTTTAAAGTCAGTTTTTTTTTTCTGTTTTAGATTCCACTTCATCCTGTAATAGACAGTTTAATACATGATGTTATTAACTTGGCTTTCAAGCACTTTAAATACAAGGAAGGGTAAGGTGATTTCTTTTCTTAGAGTGTTGATGAAGTTTGGTGCTTAAATTACACAGGCTTTGCTGCTTTTTCAGATGAACTGGGCTTGCTAACTTACTTGTCTAATTATGCCTTTCTTAGGTACCTTGGTCCTAACACTGGCAATATGCACATTGTGGCAGACCTGTATGCAGAAGTCATTGGAGTGTTGGCACAAGCTAAGTAAGTGAGCACTGGAGGGCTTGACCATGAGAACTGAGCACCTCTCACTTATGGAAGAGTGGGGTGTGTGAGCTCACAAACAACCAGGGCTGCTTTAGGCATGAGTACCCCATCCCCCATATAAACACTCTTCAAGACAGGTACTCAATTTCTCATTAGCATTTATTAAGAGACTCTATCAAGTGTATAGATTTTAAACTACTGATTCAGAGAAAGCCTTGGACTAATTTGATGTCTTTTCTTCTTACACAAATGTCCAAAGAACTTTATTCTGGGGTTTTGTTTTCTATATTCCATGAGTAAGTGGCTACAATCTATCATCTGTGAGTGGGAAAATTCCATTCTAGAATGTCCTCTTTACTATAGACCTTACTTAATTCAAGTGAGCTAAAAATGTCCCAGACTCTGTCATGGAAACAAGTCAGGGGGAGAATTCTCATTGCTAAATTTAACTGGCCTCATAATGCTACTTAGCAAGCTAGAACAAACTAATGTTAGACAATTAGCAGTAATATACTTCTTCCAAAAGTGAGGTCACACCCTACTTACCCATCTTCATTTTATCCAACCCTGAGGCATATTGGGAAAGCTAACTGAATGTCTACTTTAAGCCACAAGACCTAGAGACATACTATGAATTCAAGCCAAGCACCAACTTACAGCAACAGGGATGCGGGATCCTGTGAAATGCGGTACTCACAAAGAGATTTGTATCTTCAAGAAATGGAAATTTCCTAACTTTGTAGCATGGAAGCAAACAACTTATCAACACACACACACACACACACATGTTTACAGTATGTACTTAATCAACCTTACCTAATTAACACATAGAATAGAACTCCGAAAAACTCAAAAAGGTTCCAATTACCTTTCTTATTCTAACCTATTTTCTTTGCTTGTTTTAACAACCTTTTCCCCCTCTAACAAACACATGACACAGTGTTAGAAGGTGAAAAAGGAAATTCTAGAGGGCAGTGCACTGACACCAGTGGAAAACATCAAGGTCAAAGGCTGACAGAAACAGGGTAGAATGAATCTGGCCAAAACATAAATAAAAACTCCCCAACAGAGTTATTTGGACCACTGTGCATGAGACTATATTGTACTTTTATTTGTTTACTATGATCATTGTGGTTTATGAATCACAAAGGAAACAAGGAATAATGCATTTGGGAAAGATTTCCATTGCAATTGAGTAATAAATGTGTCGGCATTTAACTAGATAAGTTGTAATTAATTACCTGACAATTAATTTATGTGTCTACCTCAGTCTTAAAAAAATGTGAGAAAGGAGACACTATTATATGTACTTGCTTATTTGTCAAGCTGTGAAACTCTCAACCTATCCCTTTGTAATTATCCTACTGTAATTTCCTTAATGCTACCATTTGGAAGTATAATTATGCCAAAAAATTGTCTTTTGTGTTTTTCTTAGTTTTTATGCATTATGTAAGACAATACAAGATCCTGACAAATGACCTGCTTTAGCTACATAGATTATGAATGAACTGAGAGATGTTTAACAATCAAAGGTTTCAGGAATTTCCACATTTGTTTAGATTTATGATCCGCTGAGCCAGTATCTTTTAAATACATTTTTATTGTAAAAATAGTGTACAGAGAGGTTATAGTTACATGTGAGCCAGTATTTTTTTACCAATAGTAGTTTTTAGTTGTTTTTTGTATGTTAATGATGTCCTGATTCTTCAGTCATTGAATTTAAGAAATGTCTCAGTTTAGACAATGTTCCAGTACTTTCCAGTCACAGATGAACTCTTCAATTCCTGTATCTAAGGGAATATTTTTTTTTGCTGTGACATTCACACATAGTACTGACTTTCAAAATACAAGTAGCTTGGCCAGTCTGTTCTTGGTGTACCCATAGATTCAAATAGCTCATAATATGTTCTCACCCTGGCAATTTAGAGTTAACCTTTATTTGACAGATGAGACAATCTTAAATTAGTGCCATACCATGAATTACCTCATTACTACTCATTTCTCATAAGCATGCCATGAATGTTAATTTAGAAAAGTACTCCCCTTCCTTTGTTGTCAGGATGAAGAAAAAAAGAATGTGTGCTTATTTGGTACAATGTGATTTTTTTTTCTTTTTGCAAAATTAGAATAATAGAATCATTCTAATTTTAGGTTGTATGTCTAGCTCCCAATGATAATACATAGAAAATAAATTTTACTCATTATGACTTTAATAACTGAGACATTCTGTCTTTCTCCCTCCTTCCCTTCCTTCCTTCGTTCCTGCCTTCCTTCCTTCCTTCCTTTTTCTTTTGGGTACTGGTCCTACTTGAACTGAGGACCTAGCTGCTATCTCTGAGCTCTTGTGCTTAAGGCTAGTAATATACCACTTAAGCCACAACACCACTTCTGGCTTTTTGGTGGTTAATTGGAGATTAAAAAAAAAAAATTCTCACAGGGGCTGGGAAGGTGGCTCAGTAGTAGAGCGCTTGCCTTGCATGCCTGAGGCCCTGGGTTCGATTCCGCAGCACCACATACGCAAAATGAAAAAAGCCGGAAGTGGCGCTGTGGCTCAAGTGGTAGAGCGCTCGCCTTGAGCTGAAGAGCTGAGGGACAGCACCCAGGCCCAGAGTTCAGACCCCACGACCGGACCTAAAAAAAAAAAAAAAAATTCTCACAAACTTAGTCCTGCCCAAGCTAGCTTCAAACCATGATCTTTAGATTTCAACCTCCTGAGTAGCGAGGATTACAGGCATGCGCCACCAACACCCAGAACATTCACGGTTTTAATCTTCCTAGTAATAATGCCTCTTACTATCTGCCATTAACCAGCAAAATTCGGGGTTGAAATTGTGGTTCAAGTGGTAGAGTTTTAACTATGAGCAAGAAAGCCAATCAAAGGCAAGAGGCCCTGAGTTCAAGCTCCAGTGCCACCACATACACACACATACACACACATACACACACACACACACACACACACACACACACAGTGAAAGAAGATGGATAAAATGAATACAAAGTTTAGCTTTGAAAGTGGCTTTGCATCAGCCTAGTCTGGTGTCCTCTGCAGGTGCGCTCCTCAGCCACTGGAGATCTACCCACTCACTTAGCTCTTGCGTACCTACCACGTGTCTGATCTTGTGGGGTTTACCTCTAGCCAGAGGAGTCAGACAATCCACAGTACATCAATAAATGCATAAACTCTCATGCACTGGCGTTCATTCGGTTCTCAAGCTCACCTTGTGTCAGGAAGTGTTCCCATTTATGTTCTTCCATAGGATGATGGCGCTTGCAGAGAGCGCTTGTGGCTCTCTCAAGTCACCTCACTTTCAAGCTGCACACTCCCAGTTGGCTTTAGGCAGTTACTCGTATGCATTAATTTGCAAACGATACTGTAACAACGTGACACTGGCAAACAGCGTTTATTCCTTACGTACTCTGGAGACTGGAAATGCAAGATCTGTGTATGGGCAGAAGTGGTTTCCCCCTAAGCAATTCTCCCCATAGCTCATGGGCAGACATACACACATGTGCTCGTACATGTGTGTATGTCTGTGTTCTGAGGTTACAAGCACTTGAAGGGGCCCACTTTAAGGCCTTACTCAACTTCCAGGTCCCACTGGCTCATACCTGTTATTCTAGCTATTCAAGGTCCTGAAGTCTGAGAATTGCAGTTCAAAGCCAGCCCAGACAGGAAAGTCCCTGACACTCTTATTTCCCATTAACCACCAAAAAAAGCCAGTAATAGGGCTGTGACTGACTTAAGGGAGAGAATGTCAGCCTTGAGCAAAAAAGCTCAGAGACAACACCTAGGACCTGAGTTCAAGCCCCAGTGTTTTTTTGTTTTGTTTTTTGTTTTTTTTTTTTGGTATGTTTTTTATTGTAAAAGTACTGTATAGAGGGGTTACAGTTACATGAGCAAGGTAATGAGTACATGTCCTATCAAGCATTGTTGCCTCCTCCTTTGTTTTTCCCTACCATCCCTTCCCTCCCATCTCCACAACTACACTCCCACCTCCCCACCCCTCTAACCCCCTCCCCGCCAAAGTTGTAAAATTCGTTTTCAACGTAGTGTCTTGTATATCTCATTGTTACAATGAGTCAACATGTATCCCTATTTAAGCATTTGTTTTTTCCTTTCCCCTCCCCAAATTAGAGAAGTGTATATACAAGATTCAGGGCACCGACATCAAATACAGTGAAAACAGGTTATACTGTGGGGGAGGAGCATACAAAGAAACAAAAAAATTACATGGTACATTATAAATACGTTAGAAATAAAAGTAAGAAAGAAAAATATTTGTGTCCTTATCTTCAGGCTCATTTCACTTAACATCATCTTATATGGTCATATGTACATAGCTTTTGACCTTTTCTATTGTCCTATACATGTACTAGTTATTGCAAATAAGGGAAACCATGGGACCTATGTTTCTTTGGGCCTGGCTTACTTCACTTAATATAATTGTTTCCAAGTCTTTCCATTTCCTAACAAATGGGGCAATGTCATTCTTTCTGATGGAGGCATAGAATTCCATTGTATATATATACACCACATTTTCTTGATCCATTCATCTACTGAGGGGCATCTGGATTGGTTCCATATCTTAGCTATGGTATATAATGCTGTAATAACCATAGTTCTGCTGGTAGCTTACTATAAGCCCCAGTATTGATATAGATAGATAGATACATAGATACATAGATATCATAGATATATACATAGATATATACATGTATATACATATGTAGATATCATAGATATCTACATATCAATAGATATATCTATGATATATCAATAGATATATCTATATATATCGATAGATATATCGCTAGATATATCTATGATATATGGATATATCTATCTATCTATCTATCTAGAGAGAGAGAGAGAGAGAGATTTGCTAACCATAATCATTTCTTAGATCCTGTCTCCAAATATAGTTACATTGCAAGGTATTGGAAATGAAGACTTTAACATATGACTGTTTTGGGATTAGTATGGCATACTAGTAGGTCTAGGTAGAAACCAGAGACTGCATTGCTATTACATTTCCAGGTGCTTTCCCTCTAGGAAGCAGGCTTTGACAATCACCAGTTATATAGAATGTACAGCATGGAAATTAAGAACAGATTCTAGAGCCAGGCATGGCCTCCTACTCTCATCTCCACCACCTATCAGTTACACGGCTTTATTGGATTATTATTGGATTATGAAATCCCTGTCGTGTGGAAGAGTGTTAGAGTAGCACTCTTCAGAGCCCTGTGATCAAGGTGTACTCTGTAAGTAAACTATGCCTGGCAATGTTGGCTTGCTGCTTGCTACTGTGCTATTCCTCATTTCCATCATCAATATTTTCTCTAAGGCAGGGGGAAGAATGGTGCCCCTGGTGCTTGGGATTCTACTCCAAAATATTCAAGAGTACACTTTTTTTGGTGACGGTCTTGGGGCTTGAGTTCAGAACCTGGGCACTATCCATGAGCTTTTTTCCCATTGCTAGAAATCTACCACTAAGCCACAGCCCCACTTCTAGTTTTTTGGTGGGTAATTGGAGATAAGAGTCTCACAGACGTTGCCAGGCTGGTTTCAAACCATAAGCCTCAGCTCTCAGCCTCTTAAGTAGCTAGGAATAGCTCACAATTATGAGCCATCAGCTCCCAGCTAAGAGTCCACTTTTAAATTTTCATTCAAGATGATGTTACCTGATACCAAATCAAGTTTTTGTCTTTTTTTTTTTTGGGGGGGGGGGTCCTGGCCTGGGTGCTATCCCTGATCCTCTTTGTACTCAAGCCTAGCACTCTACCACTTGAACCACAGTGCCATTTCCCATTTTTTCTGAGTAGTTTATCAAAGATAACAGTCTCTCAGACTTTTCTGCCCAGGCTGGCTTTGAACCACAATCCTCAGATGTCAGCCTCCTGAGTAGCTAGGATTATGGGTGTGAGCCACTGGCACCCAGCTGAGTTTTTGTCTTTTTTAATCATATATTTTAATTCTCCTAATTTCCTCATCTGAAAAATTAATTCATAATTTTTTACTTCACCTCCATGATGCTTTTCATTTACAAGCTCAGTACTTTGTCTTTATTTTAAAATAATATTTAAGATATGTCAGAATGGGCCAGTTCAGATTGCTATGTTGATCTTTGGTAAAAGTCTATAAAATGCTGCCACTGAATAGAAATTATTCTAAACTAATATTGAAATAATCTTAACTATATTAACAATCACTAGTAGAATACCTCATTCATAGGGGGTAACAATGTTCAACAAGAAATGTACTCATTACCTTACTTACGTAACTGTAACCATTCTGACATCACCCTTACAATACAATAAAATTGAATTCATAAAGTGTTTCTCAAACTTCCTTTAAGCTATTCATTTTCTGCTCCATTCCTTTCTTGTAAGATTTTTTTTAATTATTATTTTGTTGTTATTATAAAGGTGATATGTAGTGGGATTACAATTACATGAGTCAGGTAATGAGCACATTTCCTTTTGTACAGTGTCTTCTCTTCCCTTAGTCTTTCCCAGTCCCTCCCTTCCATCTCCATAAAATCTTTTTAAAATATATGTAACAAAAATATACAGAAAATGTGTAAAGCATAAAGGTTAACAAGTTGTTATAAAATGGGAAGTAGAAATGTGGCTCAAGTGGTAAAGAGCCAGCTTCAAGTAGAAAAGCTAAGGATGCCAGGCATTGGTGGCCTATGCCTATAATCCTAGTTACTAAGGAAGCTAAGATAAGAGGATTACAGTTCAAAGCTAACCTGGACAAGAAAGTCTGTGAGTCTCATCTCCAGTTAACTACCAAAAAGTTGTGAATAGAGCTATGGTTCAAGTGGTAGAGTGCTAGCCTTGAGCAGAAAAGCTTAGGAACAGTGACGAAGTCATGAGTTCAGGCCCAGGACTGGCGCACGCATGTGTGCGCGCGCACACACACACACACACACACACACACACACGTGTGCGCACACACACACACACACACACGTGCGCACACACACACACACACGTACACAAGCTAAAGGAGACTATGAGGCCCTGAGTTCAAGTTGTAGCACTGGCATGCTCTCCCACACATTGTTATAAATGAACGATGAGCATCATGTTAAAAGTGCCCTTGATGCTTTCTTTTATGAAACACATTTGCTGCCTTCATTGTAGACCCTACCGTCTCTATTTTGAGGCATGTGTATGTTTACCTTTAACTTTTTGTTATCACAGATTTCTAAATTAGGGTCACTACCCCCTTTCAGTTGGAAACCTCCAAGTAACAGACTCAAGAAGCAATGCAGAAGTTCTACATTTTCTTTACCTAATGATCAAACCAACCCTATCTCAGAAGCAATTTGGAGAATTTTTATGTGTGCATTCCTTTACTTTTAGGCACTTTCTGTCCTTCAAATCTTTGTTTTTAAAAAAAAAAACTGCCTGTCATTATAGTTATAATAAGTATGCTTTTGCTTCCTTTCTTTTTAAAACTTAAACTTTATGGTAAAGGTGATGTACAGAGGGCTTGCAGTTACATAAGTCAGGTCATGAGTACATTGCTTTTTTGAACAGTGTCACCTCCTCCTCATTTTCTCCCACTTTTTTCCCCTCCCAACCCCCCTCTCTGCCGAGTTGTAAAGTTCACTTCCAACCTGTGTCTAGTGAGTATCACTGCTGAATTGGTTCACCCTTTGTCCCACCATTTCTGCGATTCCTCTCCCCTTCCCTGTTATTTCTTTTTTTTCTCCCTTTGGTTTATTCCATTTTGTCACTGCTTTTGATTTCTGTACCCTTTGTCTTGTATATGTTTATTCTTTTGCTTTCAAACAACACAAATACTTGAAGTTCTTTGAGAACAGGGATTCTGTTGTCTGTTTTTCATTCATCATATCAAATGTTAAAAATTCCTTACATGTAGCATACACCTACTCATCTTTAGATTGTGTGTATGTGTGTTACTGTCTTATACATGCTAAGCAAGCACGCTACCCCCTGGCTTTTGGGACAAGGCGTTTGTTATGTAGCTCAGTCTACCCTTGAATTCAGCATTCTCCTGCCTCCTGAGTGCTGGGCTTGTAGGCACACAACATTATGCCCAGCTTTATTTTTATCTGTTACCTATTTGAATTTTTCCATTACTAGATTTTTTTTTCCTTCAACTTAAAAATAAATTTTTCCATCATCATTATCCTAAAATTATAAAAAGAATCACAATAGAAAACTCTGGACTTATTTGGAGTGTGAATCTAAAAATCATTTGCTGTGGCCATGAAATAGCTGAGTCTCTTATGCTAGTGCTCAGATACTCACAATTGAATAGTTCTGGATTGCAGAGTCTGCAGGTGTTTTGAAAATAGCTAAAGGTGAGGACATGAAGTTTTCTTTCTGCTCAGTTTAAGAGCTAAACTGAGTGGATCTAAGTAGCACTGTAACTACTCTCTAGTCTAAGGGAGATGTGAATCTGGTAACAGGACAGAGATGACTGCATTCTGCCAAACCCCAAACATCACCTCTTCAGGAAATGATGATCATTGTACTTCAACTGGGGACCCTCCCCCGCCTTGTCATCAAGCTCAGTTACTCCTAGATGCTGGAGGCCGCCATCACATTGACTCCTTTGCCTGCCACTGGATAATTCACTTATGTTCTCTTCTTAGGTTCCCTGCTGTCAAGAAGAAATTTATGGCAGAGCTGAAAGAATTACGACACAAAGAGCAGAACCCATATGTGGTGCAAAGTATTATCAGCTTGATAATGGGAATGAAATTCTTTCGAATTAAGATGTATCCAGTGGAGGACTTTGAGGCTTCTCTTCAGTTTATGCAGGTAACACACTGGACAGGAGAGCTAAGGGGTGATGGCTTGGTAAGGATAATTCCTTTACCAACATGGCATACCTGGAATGTAATCTCTTTACTTCTATTTAGTACCCAACACAGGAAAGTTTGACTTAAAGTATATTGACCTTAAATTTGTTTGAAAGCAATACATAATTAGTAGAAGCCATATTTTAAATTTTCCATTAGTGTCTTTCCCTGGGCTTCATGTTATATGCGGTCCAATTCTGTCACCAGTCTGGTGATCATAACAACCAGTCAGTTTCCTAATAGCAGAAGGAAACCACTGACGTCACCTTGCGATGTTCCTCTAAGCTGCATCAGTGGTAGAGAGAGATATTAGGTGCAATTTCCTCTTACAGTATTTCTAACTTGAGACTTAGCAAGACTTACCAACACTGTAAACCAAGGAGCAGTGTAGAAAAAAATCTTCTCCTCAATGATTCATGAATTGACATAACCAAATAAGAAAGTTATGGTTAATTTTCATGGTTACATTTCATACCATCTTTGAAGTAGGGCATACAATAAAATTGCTTATTTGTTGGCTTCCTTTTCTCTCTTTTATCTATTGGTACCTATTTTAAATAAAAGAAAGCTGTGGGGGACATTAAAAGGGAAAGGGTAGATGAATGAAGAGAGGAAGGAAGAGAATATATTCATAATATTCAATGTATAGTCAGTGAAATTGAGGGGAGAGGTTGTGTTGGGAGAGATGGAGGAGAATAATGAAAGGGTGACATCAGTTAGTATTCATTGTACTTATAAACTGATTTGCTAAATGGTAACATTTTTGAATAATAAAAATATTTAAAATCTATAGAACTTTAAAATATATTAAAATATATAGGATATATTTTTTTAATCATTAGAATCTTTTACTTTTTAGAATCAATAGCATTGGGTTGGCTATATTAACATTCACTGGCATGAGAACTTCAATTAAGAAGTTGGCTTTATTTTTACTGTAATCAGGAAACGTGGTTTGGTTTGGTTGTTTTGGTTTTTTTTTTTTTTTTTTGGTTTGGTTATTGTTTCTTGTGCCACTACTGCGACTTGAACTCAGGGCATCTTGCTCTTGCTTAGCCATTTTTTTCTTTCTGAAGGCTTCCACTTGGATCATAGCTCCACCTCCACTTTTTGCTGGTTAATTGATGACTTAATTAATAAGAATCTTTGATTGATTTGCCTGGGCTGGATTCAAACCACAATTTTTAGATCTAAGTCTCCTGAGTAGATCGGATTATACAAGTATGAGCGCCAACACTGGCTAAGAACCCCCCCACCCCACATACACATGCACACACTCAACATGCACACACATCAACCAAATTATATCCATCTGTTGTCCAGTGTTCATCATAGTATATAACAAAAAAACATAGTTCTTAATGAGAATTCATAGCTCTACTAAGCGTTTATAAAGCTTTGGTATCTCAGGAGATTTTTCTCATGTCACTGCAGTGATCTTTCTAGAGGATTTAAATCAAGGGGTTATGAACATAGACTTACCATGTGACAATCACAGTTCCTCAAAAAGCTAGATGTAGAATTATCAGATGACCCAGAAATTCCACTCCTCTATATACACCCAAAAGGAATGAAAATATATGTCCCAACAAAACTTTGAACACAGATGTTCATAGCAGAATTGTTCATAGTAGCCAAAGAATAGAAATATACTAAATGTCTCTAATGAATGAGTAACAACAAAAAAAGAATATGTCTATACTAGAGAGTATAGTTTGGTCTTAAAATTAATGAGCTAGGTCTTAAAATTAATGAGCTAGCCAGGTGCCAGTGGCTCACATCTATAGTCCTAGCTACTCAGGAGGCCGAGATCTGAGGATCACAGTTTGAAGCCAGCCTGGGCAGAAGAGTCCCTGTGAGATTCTTATCTCCAATAAACTACTCAAAAAAGCTGAAAGTGGCACTATGGCTCAAATGGTAAAGCACTAGCCTGAGCACAGTACTCAGGTCCTGAGTACAAGCCCCAGGACTGGCAAAAAAAAAAAAAAAAAAAAAAATGAGGTAACCAGGTGCTAGTAGCTTACACCTGTAAGCTACTCAGGGCTGAGACCTGAGGATCACAGTTCAAAGCCAGCTTATGTAGGAAAGTCTGTGAGAGTCTTATCTCCAACTAACTACCTCAAAACCTGAAGTGGAGCTGTGGCTCAAAGTGGTAGAGTGAGTACAAAAGTTCATGGACAGCACCCAGACTCTGAGTTCAAGACTTACAACTGATGAAAAAAAATAAAAAGCTATGAGGTACTGATATATGCTTAAGCATAGATGAACTTTGAAACATGCTGAGTAAAAGAAGACAGACATGCAACATGAATATATAGCAACATATTACATGAATTCATTTACATGGAATTTCAGAGTCAGCAAGTCCATAAAGACAGAAAGTAGATTGGTGGTTTCCTGTGGCTCAGGATAAGGGAACTGATGGTGACCAGTTACTTTGGGAGTCATTAAAAGGTTATAAATTTGATTATTATGGTCATAGACATACAACAATGAATATACACAACAGATGAATTAAACTATTTAAATGTTTAGATTGCATGGTATGTAAACCATAAACTAACAAAGCTGATCTGTATGCATGGAGATGAAGGGAGGGAGAAATGGCTTCCATCTATCAAATAGCTTGAGTTTAAAAACAAGCACCAGTACTAACCAAGACCTGTGACCTTGGCCAGTGTGTCTTAACCCCTGACTTACCTTACCTGCAAGGTGGTAAACAATTTCAGTGACATTTTAGGCTGGTATTACTCAACCTGGATGAGATCTTACTACGATCATCAACCAGTTGCAGACCTCTGCCTGTCTTGCATTAGTGGCTATAAAGGATAAAGCTAATGTAGATATTAATATATCATCAAATATAGGTAGCTTTGGGCTCTTGGTTGAAAATAGCTCCTTGTAGAGACCACAGTAAGCTATTTACATAAGGCCTAGAGGAAAACAGTGGCTGGCAGAATTCAGGGCAGACCAGATTACTTACACAATGGGCAACCAAAACTATGCTTACGTAGACAAGACTTCTTGCCTGGAAAGGTTTCCTTGTCTGAGGTAAAGGGAAGCCTTCCAGGTTTTCTTATGAAATGACTGGAATAATAAACACACCTCAAATGTCAGGGTGAGCAAGTAAACAGCTCTGTACATGAAGCTGTCAGGCACAGGGCCTAACACAAGTCTGCTGTCTTTTTACCTCTCTTCCCATGTTGACCTTGGGGATTGGTGCCTGTGAGCTCCACATGAATCCAGGGCCCCACACAGGGTATAGAATCAATGGATATTTATTAGGAATGAATGAATGACTTATTCAACCAGCTGGTAACTCAGTAGATGACTGTGTATTTACAGGCATAGATTCTTTATCCTTTCTAAAACATGATTTGAAATGGAAGTAGGAGAAGAAAGAGAGAACAAATCATTGGGGACCTTGCAAGCATTTAGATTTTGGGAGGTTTTGATCATTGTTGTTTATTTTTATTTTGATGTTGATACTGAGGCTTGCACGCGGGGCCTGATTCTGTCCCTTTAGCTTTGTCACTCAGGTTGTACTACTTGAGCTGCAGCTCCACTTCCAGCTTTTTGGAAGATAAAGAGTTTCATGGCCTTTCCTGCCTGGGCTGGCTTTGAACCTCAATCTCAGGCTCCTGAATAGCTAGGATTTACAGGCATGAACCACTGGTGCCCAGTTTAGACTTTGAATTCTGAATTCAGTTGTTTGTAATAGTTTACAGAATATGTTGGTAGGCATGTTGGTAGGCATGACTGAATAAAGATCTATTGTCTTAAGCTTGCTTAAATACATTTTACTTGCACATGGCAGTCTAATCTCTGTCCCTCCCTCCCCTTTTTCCTGCTGCCTTCCCACCTTCCCTCCCTTCTTTTTCATTATTTTCTAGGAATGTGCACATTATTTCCTTGAAGTCAAAGACAAGGATATCAAACATGCTTTGGCTGGGCTTTTTGTGGAAATCCTTGTCCCTGTTGCTGCTGTGAGTTATGTTTTCATTTCTGAGACCTTCTTCAAAATGGATTACATACTCAACCTTGCCATGAACAAAAGTAGTCACATACATCTCTTTTGCAGGCTGTTAAAAATGAAGTCAATGTCCCATGCCTTAGAAACTTCGTGGAAAGTCTCTATGATACCACACTGGAACTTTCTTCTCGAAAGAAGCATTCCTTGGTAAGCCACTGAGAAGATCCAAAGCACAGGTGACATTTCTGGGCAGAAATCAATGAGTCATGGTATTTGACAGATGGGAGAATTACCTGTAGCTCCCTCAAAAAGTCTCAGCATTTCAGACTCCAGAACTCACACTTAGCACAGCACTAGGAGGTGAGACTACCTCACTTCACGCAGCCCTTCTAATCCTATGGGTTCTGCTGTTTATTTTAAACATTGGTTAGCTTCATTCTTTTTTTGAATTTTCTTTTCCAGTCTGAAGGCTAAAGGGGTGTGCGTGTGTGTGTGTGTGTGTGTGTGTGTGTGTGTGTGTGTGTGTATCTGTGTGTATCTGTGTATGTCTGTGTATATCTGTGTGTCTGTGTCATTACTGAGGCTTGAACTCAGGACCTAGGTTCTGTCCCTGAGCTTTATTGTTCAAGACTAGAACTCTACCAATTGAGCCACAGTTCTACTGCTGGCTTTTTTGGTGGTTCATTAGAGATAAGTCTTAGGCACTTTCCTGCTGAACTGTCTTTGAACTGTGATCCTCAGATCTCAGCCTCCTAAATCGCTAAGCTTACAAGGATGAGCCACCAGTGCCCAGTTTTAAGGCTAGAATTTATAGTAATAGGTTCTCTTCTCATTCCAAGGAGCCTATTCTGATACTAAGAATCAAAACTGAACCAGGCAGGGAAGGGAAGACAAAGGTCTCTGAAGGTTGAAAAACAAAAATTGGGAAGACGTAGGAAAAGCAGCAAAGAGGCTTAACTTGCTACCACCTTTTGCCCTCCATGTCAAAAAATGAGCTTCTAAACCTAGCAAGCCTGGATCAGCCATAATTTTGATAGAATGGTATTAATAAATCAGGGTGGCCCAGTTAATTATAAGTATAAATACAACCCTAATGATTTGAGCAGGTCCTCAGAGCTGCTTTGTTGGCAGTGGTGATAAATTAGCTCACTTACATTCTGTGACAAGTTCATTGTGAAAAGTCTTGTGTATTTTTCCTTTAAAAAAAAAAAGCCAGGCACTGGTGGCTCACACCTGTGATCCTACCTACTCAGAAGGCTGGGATCTGAGGATTGTATTCTAAAGTGAGCCTGGGCAGAAAAGTCCACATGAGACTCTTATCTCCAATTAACCACTGAAAAGCCAGAAGTGCAACTGTGGCTCAGAGTGATAGAGGGCTAGCCTGGAGCAAAAGAGCTCAGGGACAGCACCTAGGCCTCTTTCAAGCCCCACAACCAAAAGCAAAAGCAGAAAAGAAAAACAAACAAACATTAAAACCCTGAAAGATCCTTGGCCAGCCACTGGTGGCTCACACCTGTAATTCTAACTACTCAGGAGGCTGAGTTCTAAGGATTGCAGCTGAAAGCCAATCCAGGCAGCAAAGCCCATGAGTGGTACTCTTTTATGTCCAATTAACCAACCAAGTCCAGAAGTAGAGCTGTGGTTCAAGCGGTCAAAGCACTAGCCTTGAAAACAAAAAGCTCAGGGACAGTGCCCAGGCCCTGAGTTCAAGCCTCAGGAGTAGCACACACACACAAAAATAAACAAAAAACATTACTGCCTGCCATTAGAGTTGCATTCAATCTGAGCAGTAGTTCAGAATTCTCTAAAACTAAGCTAATGTAAAGAAGGAAGAACACCAAGTTAATAGCTGTGGGCCCTGAATCTCCCCCATTGGCCATTGTTTCTGGCTAGTTCAAGTTAAGGCATGAGCCAGTTCTGCTTCTAAGTCTTTACCACCTTAATTCTTAGGGAACCATGGCTGTGATGCTAGCAGGATTGGCCAAATGGTGACAAGTCCAGCCTATATATTCTTTGGGTGACTGCCCAGTAGCTTTTTCTATCTCCTCCAGTTGCTGTGGGAAACTGGCCCAGACAGTCAGGAAGAGCACAGTAGCACCTCTGTTTATTTGGTCCTAAGCAAATTCTTCTGTGGTTTTTGTCTTGGTAGAGTTTACCAATGCAGCAACGTTTCTTTTAGGAATCTGGAAAGGTTGCATGCAAAATAAAATATACACACCAATCTCTAAGACAGGGATAAAGGAGTCAATGTTTATGAGCAACAACAACAACAAAAAGCAAACAGCACTTGAAAAAAAATTAGTTGTACCTTCCTGCTCTCTTGGTTTTGGATTTCAAGAGTGATCTAAGATGGTGGGTTTGTTTGTAAAGTTCCTAAATGAAGACTAAGCTGGGGAGTCATATTTCCATGTTACTGTGCACACAAAACATATGTATGACTACACCCTGGCCCATAGTTCTAGATGGTTCCACCCCCCCCCCCACAACAGTATCAGAAAGCACTTGTAAATGCTCACCCTTCCTAGGCACCCACGGGGCCTCATGTTACACTGCATCCTGTTTATCCTGGCCCATTGGATACAAAGGGAGGTGACAAAGCAGTGAGGGAGAATGTATTTCCTGGTTTGTTGAAATGTCAGTCATCCTCTGACCTCTGCCCTTTGTTCTCAGGCCTTGTACCCCCTGGTGACCTGTCTGCTGTGTGTCAGTCAGAAGCAGCTGTTCCTGAACAGGTGGCACGTTTTCCTTAACAACTGCTTGTCTAATCTTAAGGTTGGTATTTGTCAACTCAACAACACCAAAATCCCTCATAAAAAGATTTAACATATAATTCTTTCCTTTTTTCCTTTGAGACAAGGTCATTAGGCTGGCCAGACTGACTTCCAACTTGTAATTCTTCTGCCTCAGGAGCTGGGATTACAGGTCTGAACCACTGTGCCTAGCTTTACCAGACAATTCTTAGGCTGGCATATGTGCTTCTTACTAGAGAGGAGAGAATTTTTGTTTCCAGTTTGGGGAAAATAAATCTATTCCAATAAGGCTCACTGTAAAGTTAGAATTAAATGCTACTCTAAATACAGGTATTGCTATATTTTACCTAACTGACATGCTTAGGCTGACCTAAGCTATTTCCTATGCTCCATGCTTCCTTCAGTAAATATTTCAGAAATAAAACTCCGTCCTGTGGAAAGACTGACCTAGTATCAGAGATCGTGGACCACAGGGTCAGAGCATTCTGCTCAAGCCACATGATAGTAATCAGTCCTAGGCCTGTGCTGCTGTCCAAGTAGACTGGCATGAGAAACAAAGCCATAGTCTTTGAAACCAAGGAGCCTGCAGGGAAAATCACTGTCATAATTATCATTAAAATGTGCTTTATGGGGCTGGGAATGTGGCTTAATGGTGAAGTGCTTGCCTAGCATGCATGAAGCCCAGGGTTCAATTTCTTAGTTCCACATAAATAGAGAACACCAGAAGTGGCACTGTGGCCCAAGTGGTAGAGTGCTAGCCTTGAGCACAAGAAGCTCAGGGACAGTGCTCAGGCTGAGTTCAAGCCTCAGGACTGGCACAAAAAAAAAAAAGGGTGTTTTATCTCTGGTGCTAGTGGCTGACACTTATAATTCTAGCTACTCAGGAGGCTGAGATCTGAGCATCACATTTCAAAGCCAGCCTGAGAAGGAAAATCTTATAAAACTTGTATCTCCAATTAGCCACCCAAAAGCTACAACTGGCTCAAGTGATAGATTGCTAACTTTGAGCCAATAAATAAGCTCAGGAACAGCACCCAGGCCCTGAGTTCAAGCCCAGTACCAACACACAAATACACACACACAAACCTATACATAAAATAGGCTTTATCATTTTGAAATGGGAAACAGTTTCAGCGTGTAGTGAAAAACTGATAAAAGCCAAGGAAATGAAAACCCTCTCTAGAACTATAAATGGTATGTATTCATCACACCTGTGGCCAAACTGAACCAAAGCCATGGTTCAGTTTATTTTACCAGTGGAATGTTTGCTGTTTTAAATACTTACTTAGAATATCTTGGATATGCTTATACATGTTGCCTTGTATTGTGTTTTTTCTTAAGACATTTTAATTTGGTGAAGTGATTAAGATTAATTATATTATTTTGACATTTACCGTAATTACACAATAATCTGCATTAGAGCTTGTTTTAAGTACCAGCTATGACCTGGCTCTAAAAGCTGATTGTGAAATTCAAGATTAGAATCACTCTTGCTTTTTTTTTTCAAATTGGCAGGGAAATATAATAGCAGGGGAAAGACAATGTAGGTTTTAAGTACTCAAAAAAAGAGCTTTTCAGGGTTATCAGCTGTTAGGAAATAGATGCCTTAGGTCTTTTGTTTGAGGGCCTAGCCATCTGCCCTGCACCCTAAAATACAATCCAATGTTCTTGTTAGTATGCAATCCGCCTTTAAGTAATCCCGTTATTAATTCCAGTATTTGTTATATATTTTACACAGATACAAAAATGGCCGTTGTAAAAGAAAAATGACCAAACATAGTATAAATGCAGCTTCTTGAGCATATTATATTTAATAGGTTTGTGATGATTTTTTTGGTTAAAATTAAAACATGTGCACTGTTCACTACCCAAAGGCCAGAATTTACTTCTGTGAGCCAATGAGGTTAAAAGGTTTTTTGTCTGTTTGTTTTGTCCACAATTGTTTTTGCATCTAGCCGAGGAGCTTACTTTAGAACTGAAGTATTTCCAAATTGGAATACTGTTTAGTGCTCTGATCGAAGCCTACTGGAAGAATTTAATAGAAAGCTTAAAACTAGAAGGGGCTGGATGCTGACAGTAGTTTCCTACATAAACATTTCACACGTTAGGATCTGGAGAGGGGATTTTTGGTAGCAGTGGGGTGTTCCAGCCCTCAACTTTGCACTTGCTTGGCAGGCACCCTACTTCCAGTCCTTTTTGCATTAGTTCATTTTGAGATACTGTCTCAAATTTCTGCCTGGACCAGCCTGGACAACAATCCTCCTGTTTGCTCTTTCCATGAAGCTGGGAAGATGGGTGCATAGAACCTCACTCAGCTTTTTATTGGTTAAAATGGAATCGCACAAACCATGTGCCCTGGCTGGCCTCAAACTGTGATCCTCCCGTTCTGCGCCTCCCATGTAACTACAATTACAAGCCTGAGCCACCACAAAGAGAAGATGGGAAATAGTGTATAGAATCAGTGCTGTGGAGAGACTGAATGAGATTCAGATTCAATTCATTTCAGCAAGGATTTATGTGTATTTAATCCTTATGTGAGGACTTAGGCAAAGTGCTAGAAGAGGGGAGGATGAGGGGAAGATAAGTAAAACTAGATATAGAATAGAGTCCCTGTCCTGGGGTACTTAGCATTTTCTTGATTCATAGGAAGTAAAACAGACTTCTATTTATGTAAGCTGGGAAGAGGAAGCTACCTGTGTGATTTATAGATAATGATTTACAGAGCTCTTTCACTCCATGAAGCATGTTTTGTTTCTGTTTGGTTTTATGTTCATTGTTGTTCTTGAGGCAGAGTCTCCTTGTATGCACCAGACATGCCTCAAACTCATTCTGTAGCCCAAACCTTACACTTACAATCTTCATGCCTACTAGAACGATTATGAGCATGAACTACCATATCTGGCAAGAAGTATTTATTAGGCAAAATGAAAGCAAGAATGTTTTCATCTTTAAGTAATAAACTGTTGGAATTCACCAACACAAGGCCAAAAGATTGTAAAAAGATCCTTGAGGAGTTATAAACAGATTAATACTATATTATACATGTTGAGAATTGAACCCAGTAGGCCTGTGAATGAGGTGAAAGAAAAAACATCTCATTTGTCTGGTTTTATTTTGTTATATTTTTGTTTGTTTGTTTAGACAGGGCCTTACTAGATAGCTCAGACTGGTCTCAAATCCAATCTTCCTACCTCCACACATGCTAGGATTACAGGGCTATTCTACCATGCCCAACTACAGATGATTTTTAAATGTTATTAATATATAGTAAGCTTTCCAAACCTTCTCACACAGTCTTAGTAGGGGAGGAATACTTAAGGACAGACCCATGTGGCTTCTGAGGGACACTTGGCCTTGAATAGCTTCCACGTTTTATGCTGTGTAGAAGCAATTATATTTTATTAGGGACCAGCTATCCAGCCTTTTCCCAGGCACAGCTTCCTTCCCAGTTCATCCCCGAAGCTTCAGGAAAAGGAGCTTAGGTGTGTCATCCACACTTACTTGGTTACCTTCTTCCATATGAGCTGCAGAGGTAAGCTTTCCCAGCAGCTATACAACAAAGGCAGAGAAGGACAGTCACATGTTTTTAAAGGAAGCAAGCTGTTGGATTCAGCACTCAATAAATGTCAGTGCGGTGGCTTCTTCTCAGGATCTGCCTCTCGTAGGCAAGTTGTTTAGGGAGCACCAGCCTGACTGCTTTCATTTAAACTTAATTAACTTAGTCCATCATATATTGGCAATTGGTTGTGTTAAAGTGATGGGAAATTTATGGCACCTTTTCACCAAGACATTTACTTTATTCTGGAACTCTTAGTAATCAGTGACCATTCCCTATTTTCTTCTTCTTTGTATTTTATATCAGTGTCTGAACATATTGAGGTAATGTTCAGCATGGTGTATTCCTTTAATAGCTGTGGGAAATTGTCTAACTTTGAAAGCAACTAAAATAGGCTTTAAGAACTTGATTTAAAGGGTGGAGAATGTGACTCGGTGGTAGAGTGCATGAAGTCCTGGATTCGATTCTTCAGTACCACATAAACAGAAAAAGCTGGAAGTGGCGCTGAGTCTCAAGTGGTAGAGTGCTAGCCTTCAGCAAAAGAAGCTCAGGGACAGTGCCTAGGCCCTGAGTTCAAGCCCCAAGACTGGTATTTAAAAAAAAAAAGAACTTGATTTAATAGATTTGGGGGGCAGGCAGGAGGAACTTTCTGGTTTTGGTGATATCAAAGTTTGAACTTCTTGAACCACACCTCCAGCCCTTTTTGCTCTGAAACTGTTTCTTTAGATAAGAGTCTCACATCCCCCTACTTTCCCATGGCGTACTTTGTATGGCAATTCTCCTACTTAAGGTCACCTACCATCTTACTATGGTTAAAAAGCACCGACACTGGTTTATTTATTGAGATTGGGCCTTTTAAGTTAACTTTTTGCTCAGCTGATCTCAGATTTCACTTCTCCCATCTCTACCTCCCAAGTATTTGGGTTTACATGTATGAGTCACTGTACTCACCTTGATAGTTTGTTTTTTAATGTGATATTTGTTGCACTCATAGTAACTATGTGCTAATTTCTTAGCTTTCACAAAAAGATATAATTGGGTTATTTTTACTTTTTTTCAAAAATGAATATACTGCACTTAAAAAAAAAGCTCAACTCTAGGCTTTCATATACAATGAGACCAAAGGGAGACACTCTTAAGACAGAAACACAAAGGCCCAATGCCTGTGTGTATCTGATCATATAAAATAATATTTATAAGAATGAACTCCAAGAAATTGAAAACAAAAGAAAGCTCAATAATTTAAGAAAAGCATTTATGTGCTGGTGGCCCATGCCTGTAATCCTAGCTACTCTGGAGGCTGAATCTGAGGATCCATGAGATTCTTATCTTCAATTAGCCAGGCAAAAGCCAGAAGTAGAGGTGTGGCTCAATTAGTAGAGTACCAGCCTTGAGCACAAAAGCCAAGTGATAGTACAAGACCCTGAGTTTCCCTAGATTATCACGAGGTCATGATAATACCACAG